GCTTCGCACGGGCAGCCCGTGCGTTGGCCAATTATTTTATCTAGCTGCCACCTGGACTGCCCATATCGCGAAGTTTTAAAAACATCCGTTCAGGAATTCATTGTGATGATAAAATGCAGTGATTTGTCCAAGCGGGGGAACTTTATCGAAGCAGAACCGTTAATCATTTCGAGAGGTGGGAAGGGGGGGGGGATGGTTTTCGTTAACTAATGGAAATTTCAGCATTTCGTAATATTTGTTACTTTTAACACTCGCAACATTTTCGGTAATTTTTTTTATCATTTAATTGTTTGAAAATGACAAATATTATCAAAATACTGCCCCAGAAACAGGAAGTGTCGCCCGCCAAAATTATTCGCAAATGTTTTTTTCAAAAATTTCCCAGTAACAACAATTGTAAAGTGAAATTAGAACGGCCGAAAAAAAATTGTAACACGGCTGTTTTTGCGAGGAGATCAATCACCATTTTCTGTCAAGGGAATGATTTCTCTATTCAGATGCATGGCATAGAGTGCGCCTTTTTGGCCCAAAAACAAGAAGAGTGCTTAGCACTAACCTTGTTTTATCGGACCTTCATTAAAACTGACCTGAATCTTGTAACAGCACTTGGCTGTTGCAAGATTTAGGCTGATTTCTCATGATACGAAGCGCAGCGAACTATATAAGGATAAGTTTAGGATGAAACAGTTCTCAGTGGTAGCTTGACGAAATTAGTATGCTTTTTTACAGAGGGCTTGAAGAACGATTACAGGAGCAATTGGATTTCACAGCTGTACAATCACCAACCGATCCACTTTACCCGTATCAGTGGTACTTGGTAAGTTGGATAATTTTCAGATTAAGGCATGTGCCACTTATCAATATCTTACTCAAAACTTTTATATTTTTTGTGAACTGCGTTATAAATTTAATGTCGCTTCATTTTTCTACCAGAAAAATATTGGGCAAGCGAATGGTAAACCACGTCTGGATCTGAATGTCGAAAAAGCTTGGGCACTTGGTATCACTGGAAAGAACGTCACGACAGCTATCATGGACGATGGTGTCGACTACATGCATCCAGACCTTAAAATGAATTTTGTATATTTTTGAGCATTTTCAAAATTTTCGTTTTTTTAATCGCTACAGAAGTGTAACGATCTGAGGTAACATTTCTGTGCCCATCCAGAAAATACTAGTATGAAATATCATTAAACTTTCCCTGGCCTAACGCCATCTTTATTTTTGTAATGTGGCAAGAGGAGAACCATTGGGGATTGCCTCAAGGGAGAACCCTTAACGCATACTTAGTGTTGCTAAAGGGGCGGTTAGTCGAACTACAGGCAAGGCATTTGTTTCGTTTTGGCAAGTGATGCGTAGAGGAGATATGATTGTCTGAAATTATTTTGCAAACAAGTCGTTTGAAAAAATTTGAGAAAAACTTCTAAGCTTTTCTCCTCTCAGTGCATCTGCAACTTTGCGACCTCACTGACGCAGGGCAACCAAAATAAGCAGTCATTCTGCTATTCTTTCCACTGGTTACAAACGAAATCTGGTA